AATATTTCTCTATAAATAACATTTTTCTCATTTGCTTATGTCACTCATTATTACAGGAGAAAACCGCACTGTACTTACTTCTGAGCCTGAGTGACAGTGCCTATCAATATCTTCTGAACTTAGTACTATATATATATATATATATATATATATATATATATATATATATATATATATATATATATATATATATGTCACCTGTACATATTTACTGTACTTAAATGGGGTTTAATTTCTGAGCATTACAAGAGGTGGAATGATGACTGAGAGCATCTACTCAGTAAAGTTGAACAGGTGTAGAAGGCAAAGATTACAAATCTTAGCTTAAAATCATCGATGATAAGTATGCTATTCGACAGAATATCTTCGAGTTGAGAAAATAAGAGAAGAATGAAAGAATAAGAGTTATTAATTCCACTTGGGTATTACATTTCTCAAATTATCTTCAATAATATCAACACAGGACCTGAGACATTACTGTGCAACGGTTCAAGTTAACACTCCATATATCATCACATAAAAAGAAAAATCATTGAGATGAAAGATAAAGGAGGGAAAAATCCATCCGAAGCAGTAGAAAGCAGTAAAAAAGAGGAAGGCAGAATGAGAAAATACTCAAATCAGTAAAGTGATTAGGATTAAGATAATATGCGGATATATTTACGCCAATGACATCGATTCTGAGCCATATCACCTATAGTTTCCAGTCCCCAGATTCTGTATATCATGTGGATCCCAACTGGCTAGTCTGAATGTCCTTACATGGCTCAAACCAACAGTCAAAGAATTGATAGAGATGAAACACTTTCTTTAAAAGACTAAGAATTTCATGTTCGGAAAAAGACTGCAGAATGTATCACTACTGGAAACAGTCACTAAAGGAATGGACATACCGAGACGGTTTTCCATGAGAGATGGAGAAAAGTGGAAGGGACGAACTGAAATCTTTATTACTGAAAAAAGTTTTATTTCATTTTGGATTCAAAGCAAGTGAAATATCAGAAGACAGGATGATAAACGGAATACAAAATGGGAGTTTCCCTACAACTAGATCTGTATTTGTACATTATAAGACGCAGATAGACAGATGAAATTAAAGTAGAACCTCTCACATAGATGCATCGCTTCAACTTGCCACACTTCACAGCAACAGGCAGAAAACAAGCGGATAGACAAAGAGTGATAACAAAGTAGAAAAAGGCGTATGCAAGGAAGAAAGCGAGGTGATTAAAAATGTTCAACTTTAGAAAACGTTAAACAGTGAATATATCTGCGCCATTATGATAGATCTTCCGTCATACCACAGAAGGTGTCCAACCATTGTTATCTATCATCTCAAGAAGTCTAGTCAGACCGTCTACACCTCCCTATACGGCTCAGATCAACAGTTCGTGACTTCAGGGACAAGTGTCACATCTTGGGATGACCAGAGCCCTCTTCCAACCCAACCCTCTGCGGTTAACATTGCACGTCGAGACAGGTATGCGCAACAAATGTCCCATGCCATCTTAGTCACTGACAGCTTACAACCTCATTGACTGTATTACCTTCTCTGTCTAATACCCTTCGCTTAATCTTTCTGTTGTTCATATAGTGATTTCATCACATGTAAAGAAAGCAAGAAAAATACCTGTGTTCGGAAATCTATAATCTCTTCACGTCTTTCGATGTCTCTCTGAGCCGTATAATAAGAAAAGTCGAACTGAATATAAATATATATAATGGACATGTATAAGTCTTCGTCTGACAAATGTATACCCAAATATCATAAACTAAATTTTTTTGAGTTCTACAGTACTAAGGAAAGCTCAGGGTGTACCAGCTGACGAGTCCCGAATAGGACGAAATGCTCATCCTGAGTTCCACTGCTAACCACGATCCATCATTATTACAATTAGAACGCAGGCAATATCGAGGCATCCTCACAGGAGCCCATATGCCAATAGAGACCGATCAATTCGGTCCAAGCAACGACGGTATCATATAAAAACAATTATACTAGAAGTAAAAGGTAGTGAGAAAAGCAATCAACTATAAAAATAAAGTGATAATGACGATGTAAGAGTATAAAGATTAATCTAACAAGAAAACGGGGGTGGGGGTGAAAAAGGAATGAAGTACATCAAGACTAAAATAAATTAAGGCCAAGATAGCAACAAAGACTGTGCATACTTTTTCTGCACACAAAGGTCAGGCTTCATTTCATGGATATCCTGAAAAAACATCTTTCTAGATCACTTAGTAGGACTTTTTTCTCAGCCAACCTTCACTTGATCTTTACCAGTCGTAAATTGTTTTTCCGTTTGTATAAAAGACAATATCCCATCACAGGTCACATTCATGTATATTTACCAGTTCACCTGCTCCTGTCATAGTCAGAGATTGCTGTCAACAAGTTTACGAGAATATATTCCAGCTTCGTTTTATAAGGGTCAAAGGAAATGCATTAGAAGTTCTATCCTTGAGCATTTAATCAATTCCAACCATTCAACGGACCCAAACAATGATCTTAAGGTTGTCTGTCAAATTCGCCCAAACACCACACGTCTCCTCCGTGTTCAGCTTCTAAAAACAACAGAGGCCTTGGCTATTCATGAACTGAAGCCTAACCTTTGTGCACAGAAGAAGTATGTACAGTCTTTGTCACTATCTTGGCCTTAATTTATTTTAGTCTTGGGGTGCTTCGTTCCTTTTTTGTTTTTACAGCCCCCCCCCCCCTTTTTTTGTCAGATTAATCTTTATACTCTTACATCGTCATTATCATTTTATTTTCATATTTAATTCTTTCCGGTGTTATTTCATTTGACCTTCCTAATAATCTCCACTTGTAACAAAATATTTTTAATTTATTCCATTTAAGTTGTCTCGCTCCACCACTGCCGGATTGGAAACAGCAACCACCGGGTTTCCGATCCGATGCTCTACCAAGTTACGAGATCCAAAATTTAGACTATGGTTGGATAGAGAATCGAGGCGGAAACCTGATAGTCGATGGTTCGAATCTGGTCACTGTCCAAATTTTTATTTCACCTTCAATTATCATCCAGTACAAATACTAGTCTGCTAAACTACAGCTATCTCAGATAGCCACAAATGGTATTAACTCTACCACGTTTTCATCCCCTTTTCAATCTATATGAATCACATAAACGATTTAAAATCTTAAGTAACCGTTTTGTTATCATTCGACCTTAGGTCATCAACTAGTAACATTATTATATAACCATCATTAATTATTGTTATTATTATAACCATCCCCCCACCACCATCATTTAAGTTAAATCTTCCTCATGGAGTACAGTCTTTAAATATATATATACGAATGTACAGCTTGAGAATAAATCCGTTGAAAAAGTCCTCTTCAGTGAATATCTTGTTTTTGATATCACATTGGGAATTATGAACGTATAGAAAAGCAATTACCAAATTACTATGTCTATTAGTAATTATCATCATCATCATTATCAACATAGGACCAGGCATTACTGCGTAACGGTCCGAGTTGCCACACCTCATATCAGCACATCAAGTAAAAAGGTAGTGAGGTGAAGGATGAACATAAGTGAATGCAGTCAAAAGAAATATAAATTACGAGAAGAAAGGAAAGAGGAGTGACAAAATGGTGAGATTCGGTATAGCGTTGTTAAGATGAGGATAATGTGTGTATACATCTGAGCCACTGACTTCGGTTCTGAGCCATATCACTTAGGGTCTGCAACCACTGGTTCCTCTTATCCCGTGGACCCCAACCACTTAGTCTGCATCGTCCTACATGGCTTAAACCAACAGTCAGAGACTTCATACATTGGTGCCATGTTTTAGTTTGGCCACCTCGGGCCTTTCTCCAGCCTGGACCTACCTCAGCCAACATTGTGTGACGAGACAATCGGTGACTAGGCATAAGTAGTACGTGTCCCCATCTCAGTCGATGAAGGTTCACAACCTCGTCAACTGATTTACCTCTTCTCCCCAAAACTCTACACCTAACTTCTGCATTACTCACATGGTGACACCACGGAATACGTCCTATATTACGAAGGCAACGGTGGTCAAACACCTGAAGCCTTTTTATATCTTCCACTTTCAATGGCCATGTTTCACAGCCATACAGTAGAACAGAGCGGACTGCTGTGCAGTACACGGCACCCTTAATAGACAAACGGATATCACGGCGGCGCCACAGGTGGCGCAAGTTGGCAAAAACCAATCGAGCCTTTTGTATCCGTGCAGAAATCTCATCGGCAACTAACCCACCAGGGTTGATCCTACTTCCCAGGTAAGTGAAGTGGTCAACACACTCAACCACTTCACTCTCTATTGTTAGCCGCGGTACCGCTGAAGACCAGTCCTGGAGCAAAAATTTGCATTTGGGTGGTGAAAATCGCATCCCAAATATTCTCAAATTCCCACTCAAAGTGTTCAGAAGACTCTGCATCTTGTCAGCGTCTTCACCTAACAGGACTATGTCATGTCATCTGCATATTCTAGATCTAAAGAAAATTCACCTGTGATTGGGTCAACGTCTGTGTAATTAGGTGACGAGAGGGAAACCTCCATACTTTCTTTGTGCGCACATCGTAACAAGAATTGTCTGAACACTTTGTAGAGAGAAAAGTAGTCGTGACTATTCTCCGCATTTATTTAATTAGTAATTAAATAAATGCGGAGAATAGTCACGACTACTTTTCTCTCTACAAAGTGTTCAGACAATGCTTGTTACGATGTACGCACAAAGAATGTGTGAAGTATTCTCAACATTTTGGAAATGATATTTTCAGGCTTGCTTGAGTTTACCTTGTGATTTTAACCTATTACACTGTATCTCTTATTGTACGCAATTCCTTTATGAATAACAATTTCTTAGTACACCAGGACTAGGTTGCAGTATGATTATCAAACTGGATTATAAAACAATAACAGATCGAAATAGGTAACTTTTTAAAATATAATCTACATCAACCATTAATATACAAACATAAAACACAGTTACACCAACTTACCACTATCACATACTGTTAGAAATGTACCAATACTATCATTGCATATGTGTATTTCTTGAGCAACATTCGGACGAAGAACTTTGATAGCACTGACTAATTCCTTTTGATTGGTTTCAGTATCAGCTCCACTCAATGATAAACCCTGTGAAGGTAATTATGCATAGACAAAAGTGTGAGATTTGTAAATTATTACACAGTATTATAATGGACTCAAAAGACTAGAAAATACATGTTAGTTAGTTGGAAGCAATCAGCAGGTAGCCCTACTTAAGCTACGTTTCCAGCTTGCTAGTACTCATCATCAAGGCGTATCTTCAACCTCAAGGGGACTGATTCCTTCTTTAAGAGTCGAACAAACGTCAGTAAAGTTACCACTGAGCTATTCGGATCGCAATTGACTTCACTTGCCTTGAGATTGCAGAGACGCCTTTCTGAAGAGTATTAACAGGCATGAAAGCCATCTACGTCAGAAACAGCTTCCTACCGATTACCTTCAATCAACTAACATCTATCTAAGCGTACCAAAATGGTAAGCCTCCTAGCTTGGCAATCTCATTGCAAAATGACCGATTGAATTCGGTCTACAATGGGGGTTGGATAACATGACCAATCAATTTAGACTAGAAAATAACTTAATCATTAAACGCAACCAGAATGTAGTGGATAAGAATGTTCATTATATGTGCGAAGATTGTTTACATGAGATGAACCAAATGTTTTTCTCATGAACTAGAGAAAGATCCTACTACTGGACGACTTGAGTAGTTAGAAACCACTCAGAATGATCTGTGGTATTTCATCACCCAAATGAGAGCAATCTTAACGCCAGAGAGTCATTTCACTCGTTTAAAACCGACCTCATCAGTGGTGTATCGGGTAACATTTAGCTCACAGAACCAAAGTAGTTCAGATCATTTGTATCTGGCTAGCTGATTTGCATGGATCAGTATACCTAAAAGAGAATGATTTACGAATTGTACCGTCCACGTTGACATTTCTCATAGCTGAGTAGTTTTTCAACTACCAATCAACTGTGGTGGCAACAGGGCTTTTTCAGCTCCGAATGCGATTAAAAAATAGATGACTAGAAAGTGACTAGCTCTGGAAAAGTATAACTTTTAAAGCGGAATTTAGTTAATAATAATAATATGACTTCTACTTTAGTCTGTTTATTAGACTTGTCGTACAGTGAAGAAACAGTACCATTCACTGGATAACGTTTCAGATACAATTTATTGGCCAGATTCACATCAGGTAACCCCACAAACCTAAGACACAGTTTATATAGTCCTAATTCTGTCTCCCTTGTGATGATAATAGTAGAATTTCCTATATATCTAGAACAGGTGCAGAATCATTTCTATTACTGCATGTATTTGGTGTTGATTCGGTTATCAATGTCTCCCTCCACCAAAGTTTTTAACCCTGTCAGTCCATTTCCTACTCTATTGTGTGATTGTGTCATCGTATGCAGAGGTATAGTCGAGTTTCTTCTAAATGTCTTTTCTTATTAGGATCTACTAATCTTGATTTAGCTAAGTTTTTGTGCTCCTTTATTCTATTCGACCCTAGTCGACTACTTTCACCTGTGTATTTAACCTCACAATCATTGCAAGGGATTTGGTAAACCAGATTATTTTGTTTAGTTGCATCGATAGGATCTTTTAACCTACAAAGCTTGTTTCTAAGCGAGTTTGTTGGTTTAAATGCCAGCCACTTTAATTCTTCGTAATGCTTCCGAAGAGCCTTCCTTGTATGATAACATCGCAGAGGCTTTGGATTCTCTCTCAACCCTGTCACCATTATTGCTATTAGTAGTATAATTATTACTAACGGCACCTGTGTTACTACTAATTTTACTGTTAATATTCCTTTTTCAATTTCTTATGAATTTATCTATTAATTTAAATGAGTAATTATTGAAACTCAAAGTGTTCTTAAAGTGTCTAGTTTCTTCCTGTAGATTTTCTTTTGCCTTGTCACTTAGGCATTTTAACTAAGCCTACTTTAAGTCAGTTAACTTTAACACAGCCAGCATGTTATCATAGAGCTGCTGGGTTCGAATTCAATACTCCATATTATCCTACCTCTGTCAATTCGTGATACACAACTTTCATCCAATATCATAGTTAGGTATATATCCTCCTCTTCTCCAACTTGGTTTTTGCCCCAATGACATGATAAAGTTCAGTTTGTACTTCTAGGTAAAATTCATCAATCGAAGTTACTTGGATATGATTATGGACAATAAATTATCACCAAGAGGTTATCCAGTCACTGATACTGTTTCTTCACTGTATGTGATATTTCTAATAAATAGACTAGAATGGAATAACAATCTACCACTGTGTCCAAATTTTACTTCAATATTACTTACTACTGGCGTTTCGATGCAGAAATTCGCACTTTCGACATCAAAGTTTGATGAGAGTGAAATACTTTCTCAAGACGAACAGTATGGAAGGAATACACAGATATCTTGCCTTATTATTATTTTATTATTAATCCCTTGTGTTCTTTATGGAACATAGAGCTTCAGTAGCACGTTTCCATTCCACTCTCTTCTCTGAAATCTTTTCAACCTGCCTCCACACTGCCCACAACCTCTCATTTCCTCCTCACACCATCTCCTCCATGTCACCCTCACCACGCTTCCCATCTGGGTTCCACTCGACAACCCCACCTGGCCTGGCACATGATGTCCCCAACTGACCTCTCAGTGTATGCCCAATCCAATCCATCTCCACTTCCTTCCACTGCATATTTGTTGGTGATAGGTTCTTGCTTCGTTTCCACAGTTTCTTGTTGCTTATTCTCATTATTCTGGTCATCTGAGCTTCAGTGACGAGCCAGTGTAGGTGGCAGTTGTTGATGAATGTCTGTAGTTTGTTTGAAATGCCTTTCGTAACGCGCCAAGTTTCTGAGCCATACAGAAGCACTGACTTGACTGAATTGGTGTTGAAAATCCGGATGTTGTTCATTGTGCTGAGTTCAGAAGATCTCCACACTGGTTTCCGATTAGCGAAAGCCTGTCTTACTTTTCCGATTCTGACTTTGACATCCTCGTCAGTGCCACCTGTAGTTGAAACAGTGCTTCCTAGGTAGGTACGTGAAAGAGGCTACTTCCCTTAAGTTTCTCCCGTTGATGGTGATTGGAGCTTATTGTTGTTGTTGTTGGTTGGATTTCTTCATCACGTGTGTCTTCTCTATGTTCACTTGAAGTTCCGTGTTCGCTACCCTGCCCTGCCTCTTCTGTCAACCTGTTAGTTTTCGCCTGTAGATCTATCTTCAAGTTTGTGTGACATTAGACACAAGTCATCGGTGAAATCTAAATCTTCTAGGATCTTTTCCCCGGTCCATCCAGCGTATGCCTCTCTTCTCCCTCTTCATTGTTTGTTGCATGATCCAGTTTACCACAATCAGGAAGATCATCGGTGATAGTAGGTGGCAGCCTTGTCTTACTCCTGTTTTCACTTCAAAGGCGTCACTGAGCTTCCCATTGTGAATTACTTGGCATGTGGTGTCATCATATGGTTGTTGAACGAGATTGATGAAGGTTTATGGTATTCCGTAGTGTTGAAGCAGCCGCCTGCCAAATTACTTCTTGGTTGACGCTGTCAAAGGCCTTCTCAAAGTCGATGAATTTGAGGTTGAGTTAAGTTGACTGCCATTCTATACTCTGTTGTATGATGATGCATAGTGTAGCGTTGCAATTTGATCAGCACATGATTTGTACTTCCTGAATCGAGCCAGCCTGTTCCGGTCGTAGTTTTGAATTCAGTGCATCCTTCAGTCTCTCCAAGATGATGCGGCTTAATATTTTGCTTGGGGTGGGCAGGAGCGTGATTCAGCGCCAGTTCTTGCAAACACTTAGGTCACCCTTCTTTGGGAGTTTGACAAGGTAGCCCTTCTTCCAATCAATCGCCTGGTACCATCCCTTCCTCCCACACCTTCTGCAATAGTGGTGTGAGCATGTCTGCTGTTGTCTCTGCGTCTGCTCTCAGTGCTTGTGGTTGGATTCCATCTGGTCCTGAAGCTTTCCCGCATTTCAGTAGACTTATGGCGTTCAGGAATTTGACTTTCATCGGAGGATTTGTGTTCACTGGTAGTCCTGTGGCTGCAGGTGGTATTTCTGGACGAAGTGCAGGTGGTGGTCGATTCAAGAGCGTTTTTGAAGTGGTCAGCCCATTGTTTTCTTTGTTTTTCTTCTTTGGTGATTAGCTTAATCAGTCTTTTTTCTAAATTTACAGTAGCCCAGTATACATACATTATATTTTATTTGTGCTTTGAAGTTTCTTTAGCGATTGGATTGGTTTTCCGTAGTAGGGTTGCTAGCCCTACGCCCAACCTTCCCTCTTTACCCAGGCTTAGGACCGGCTGGTAACTAGTGAAGTAGTTAACCAGGCGAGGTTGATATCTTACCTTGCTATACTACAAATTTGGAAGGTCTCCAGTATAAATACAATCTTTCAGTGATCCAAAGAGACCATAATTTCCGAAGTTTAATCCTTTTATGATTGATGGTATTAAATAATCAACAAATAACCAGTGACCTAGTCAAGTAGAAAAGTTATTTCACTATCTGAAAAGCGGCTTGCTACAATTTTAGGCTAATAATAAAATTCTTCAGCAGACATATTTTTATCAAATTCTTCTCTTCCAGTTTGTTTTAATCGTTCAAAGATATCCTTCAAGGAGTATAGCGCACTCTTGAAGATTTTCAAAATGTTTTGAACTAGTCATTTTTCTAGAAGTAATAACAAAATGATGGAGAATAGATGTCATATTGAACGGAAATAGAGTGGATTTGTTAAAATATTATATATATATATATATATATATATATATATATATATATATATATATATATATATATATATATATAATATTATGTGTCAAGCATATTGTTTGAAATACAGCCATTATTATTATTATTATTATTATTATTATTATTATTACATGTGTAGGAACCAAAAGAAACTAGAACAGAATTGTCATTGATCGATTTTGCGGCATAACTAGTAGTTTCCAGAGACAATGCACGTGTATGTCTGTGACCCATGATATCTTGAACAAGAAGTTAGTTTGGCATAAAAAAATTTTTGTTTCAATATAATTTGTCTAAAATGATCGTTGTTCTACTTCAAGTTTGTTTCAGGACTAGTAATTAGTAATATTCATATGAAAGCCACTGTGATCTGGAGCACTCTAAATGCATTTAAAATGAATAACTATTCACAAAACTCTTGCTAAGAAAATGTAAGCAATTTAATGAAAACAGTAATAGTTGAATACATAAGGTTGTACAACACAATTTATAAAATTTTGAAAAGCAATCTAACATTTTTAAAATAGACGCCAATAGATTTTAACTTCGTTAAAACAATTTCAAAGTTGAGTAGTGATACGTAGCGACAAAAAGCAGCTAATAGGGGAGTTGTTTTCAAGTCATGATTAGATCATGTTCAGGTTGTGATTTATGCATGAGCTGACATAAGAACCTGATTGGAGAAGTTCGACCTCATACAAGAGAACGGATTGGTTCGTTTATGGCTTCACTTTCTGAGAGTTTTGTAAATACATATATGTCATGTATTTGCCTAATAAAAGTTGTCGCTGTTCTAGCAGTCACAGGCCGTCTTTGTCTTCTGGTTTCTCCGCGGCTCAGTGAAGCAGAAGGTACTGAGGGAGGTCAGTCGTAAAGGTATTCTGTTGAGGTGTCTATTGAGTCTCAGTATTCACTATACCCACGCGCGCAACCCCATCACTCGGTCGCAACAAGTACAAAGATAGTATAGTAGTGTGCTATAAGGTGAATTCCTTATAATAATAATAATAATTATTATTATTATTATTATTACTAATATTATTGTCAGACATGGTGAAAATTTGATCAAAGACGAAGATCTAAAAGGTGATGATTGGTCAGTTAAGCGAACAGTAGCGCGAAGCCTGAAAAATTTAGTGTAAAGCAGCGATGAATGTTATTACCTTGAAAATATAATAATTCATCAAGATTCTGTGTTAAGCAAAGGTGATGTACATACTACAGTCAGAAATCCTTCAGATGGATTCGTTTGGTGCAGTTATGAAAAAATTAAATCTGGCAATAAAAATAAATAGCATCAGGTATGTATCTTTGTCTGCAATTGGTATTCAAAAGCATACACACATAAAAAATCAAAGTAGAACCTTACAAACAAGTGTGTCGCTTTCACTTACCACACACCACAGTAGTATAAAAAGAACAAGTGGATAGAAAAAGGTGTATGGAATAGAAGGAATTTAAAAAAATGAAGCTTGATCAAAACATTCCAGCTTTAGAAAACATCGAATAGTGAATACATCTGCGTCATCATGACCAATGTTCACTTCTGTTACTAAGAGTCCTCAACCACTGATGCCATGTTCACAGAGACCCCAGTCAGGTAGTCTGCATCTATGCACACGGCTCAAACAAACAAACAAGGATTCATCCACTGGTATCATGTCTCAGTTTGGCCACCCTGAACCTTCTTTCAACCTAATGCAACCCCTATTAGCAATGCACGTTGAGATATGCGGTGGATAGGTTTGTGCGCGTCACGAAAAGTATTTCCAACAAACTACAGATATTCATCAACAGCTGCCACCTAGGCTTACTCGATATTGAAGATCAGATGGCCAGAAAGAATAAGCAACAAGGAACTCTGGCCGGGCAACGAACCAACAAGAACCTATCACCCAACAAATATGCAGAAGAAAGTGGGATGGATTGGATTGGGCATACACTAAGAAGGCCGGTTGGAAACATCACGTGCGAGGCCAGGCAAGGCCAGGTCGTCGAGTGGAATCCAAAGGGGAAACGACGAGTTGGGCATCCTAGTCGAGGGTCGCATGGAGATCATGTGAGAAAGAAATGAAAGCTTGTGGGCAGTCGTGGAGCAAGGTTCAAAAGACTGCGGAGAACAGAGTGCAATGGAGGCGGGCTACTGAAGCCCTGTGTTCCATTAGGAACCCGAGAGAAAAAGAAATAATAATAATAATATACTTACAGACATTAGGATTGTCGGAAAAACTGAGTTCATTAGTATTGATAAAACACTCACTGATGAAAACTTTCCCATATATCAGTATTTGTAAATTTATCCTAACCAAATTCATTCAAATTCTAGAAGCCAATTCGTTGCTTCGTGAGACAATACTGGAGAGCTTAAGAATATTAAGTTGCACGAACTAACAACTGCACACACACCTTAATATTCGGTTTTCGAATAAAAACGAAACTTTACTCAGGAAACACAGATTAGTCACGGTTCATTATTTATCTACAATATTATTTGTTCCATGAATCAGTTGGTCTTAAATTATCTCATAAAATGTAAAATTATTCTATCCTGTCAACTAGATTCTTTCATTTACGTAGTAGTATTTAAGGTTAAGAGCAGTTTCATGAAGTGTTGATCCAAAGGAGCATGAAAAGTACACTGACACATATTGGGCCATTGAAATTCGATAAAGCACAATTCTGAATGAATTATTGAACCTTATGACTATATATATATATATATATATATATGAGAATTTGGACCGCGGTTGGATTCGAACCAGTGACCACCGGATTTCCAGCCTGATGCCCTAACAACTGAGCCACGATGTCCAACTGCTGACCAGATTTTTACTTTTATGATAATCAATGTGATGCTACCCCTTCTACTCTAATTCAGTTAGATTTGGGTTGTGATGAGAAGTCCTGAGTAAGCTGCAGCCACTGTGAATATGATTAAGCGGTAGTAACACGTAACGAATTCACATGGTAGTCATCGGTGAAAACCCTTAGTGATTGAAGTGAAATAAAAATCAGGTCGACAGTCAAACGTCGTAGCTCAGTTGGTAGTTCGTCGGGTCGGTAACCCGGAGGTCGTTGCTTCGAATTCGAAAGTGGTTCAAATTTTCATTTCACCTTCAATCATCACCTAGTATATAACACTAGTCTACCAAACCACAGCTATCTCAGATAGTCAAAATGGTATAAGGTAAGATATGAAATAAGGTATTATTGAGATCTAACTAAGAAATAGTGTATGACTTACTGGCCGGATAAATCCTTATAACTAATCCGACGTCAAACATTTCCAGTACCAATTGAATTCCAAAGATTTCTAATAAGTATTCTCAAACTTTAAACATATCTGCGATTTAACACCCCACTCCCCGTAAGTTTACTTTAAACACCTGAGTTTGATCGATTTTTGATGGTGAAATAAATGCTCAAAATGAATGATAAGAAAGATAGTCTAAACATATGCATATCGAAATGGCCTGAGCTCACCCACTAGGACGTAGGTTTGAGGCCCGGTAGTTTGTAGTGGGCGTTGCTGATAACAATGGATTTAAGTGGTATGTGTTGAGAGGGTGGCAGGAATCATATGGAATTACCTGTAATGGGTAAGTTTTCTGTCAAAAGAAACGTAGGGGATAACGCAGGCGTATTACAGTTAATGCTGCTGATAAGAATGTATGAAGAGCAGATCAAGAGAGGAACAGAAGAGGAAAGAAGCACAATATACATTATTTCCGTCGTGTTTATCTTGTCTCTTCAATTGGTGTCGCTGCCTCTAAACGTGATGAAGATTCCATGGCCTGTAGAGTTCGCGGATGGAGACGGAAGTCAAACAAAACGGAAAAAATGTATATCGTGAACAATTGGAACGGTAGTCGTTACATATGGTACACCTTGCACTAACACAGTCATTTGCAAATGTGCTTCTTTCCTCTTCTGTTCTCTCTTGATCTGATCTTCATACATTCTTATCAGCAGCATTTGCTGTAATACGCCTGCGTTATCCCTACGTTGCTCTTGGCAGAAACTTTACCCATTGCCGGCAATTCCCTATGATTCCTGCCACCATCTCAACATATACTACTTATATCCATTGTTATCAGCAACCCATACTACAGTATCATTAACCTTCACACAACAGGTGTGGTTTATTGCCTACTACATGAATGTGCACAAGGTGCCTGAGTGTGTACTATTTATTATTATTTAGATGGCATATATCATACTACCTATCTCGTCTTACTGAGATGAACCCACAATACTAATATAACTTAACATTATATCAAAGGAGGTAGTGATAAACACACAACCAACTACCGTAATCTAAAAGAGCATAGAATATGACGTGCTTCACAATCGATCACAAAGATAACTGATACCCAGTAGATGGATAGACTAAATTTATGTACGATAAGCCATACTTTTAGTAATTAAGAAAAGAAAAGAAAAAGAAAATTTAAAATAACTTTTATAAAATTTACCTCTACTAGAAAAATTCATATTCGTAACAAAGTAAACTTACTAAATGAACAAGTGGTTCCGTGAACTGTAGACCAGAGTTGTTGAATGCTTTATCTATCAAACTAAGAATCCGTTTAGCAACCTCTTCTAAACCTAGTAACTGATATTTTTGGATAAAAAATAATAATAAGTCAACGCAGTATAGCAACAAGAAATTAGAATTATCAATTCAACAACAACTAATAGTCACACTCATTGCAAAAATGATGGCTGTCGTGCTTCAGTGGCCTACCGGATAACGCTATAGTGTTTGAAGTGATCAGTATGAAATTCAAGTCTCAGTGGGAACAACATCACCTACTGGAGTGAAGATATGTACAGCTGATGAGTCTCAAATAAAACGAAATGCGCGTCCTGGATTCCACTGTCATCCACCAAAGAGACTATAACATAAGGCATCCGCATAGGAGCGCATCTGCCAACAGAGGTAGAGCGATTCAACCCAGTATAACGCCTGGAAATTACAATTCACAATAAACAAAATTGGGGAAAGAAACTATGTCCCCCTTGCTCAATGAAGACATAAACCTTTCACAACCCACAAAAAAAGAATCTCCAAGTCTGATCAAACTCATCCATCTTTGTCTGACAACATACCTTCCAATTCAATGACAAGATATACAAACAGATGAAATGAACTCAACTCAAATGAAGTCACCAATATCAGGACTAATTCAACAACCAGTGATGCAGGAGACTAAAAGTCATCTTTCTACTGTTGATTAAATCAAAAATTTCGATTCATCAAGTAGACGATACTTTGGTCATCATTTAAAAAGATGATAGAGAAAACACTCACAGTTTCATCAACAACGTCTTCCATCACATCAAATTCATAATGAAGAAGGAGTCAAACAACTAACTACCATTCCTGGATGTTTTAGTCAGTAGGACAAATGCCAGAAAGTTGGAAACCCAAGTGTACAGGAAGCCAACACACACTCATCAAATACTCAACTACAGTACCAACAACCTAACAACACACAAAATTAGTTACGTACTAACCCTATTCAAAAGAGCGAGATAACACTGCAGCACAATAACTTCAAGGAGAAACGAAGAAACTATTTGATGTCCATCCTAAAGGAGAATGGCTACCCACGAAACTTTATCAGAACATGTCTACCCTGTACAACATCAACTACAAATGTCATACACAGAAATCAATTAACAAATCATCCTACCGTACATAAAGAATATATCACAAATCATGACAAGATTACTGACACAACTTGGATTTGGTATGGCTCATTAATCAACAAATTCCTTCCAAACCTGTTGTGCAGACCAAAGGACGCAACAGTCAAAGTAACAAACCAAATATCATTTACAAAATCAACTACAAGAACTGTAGTCAACAGTAGATTGGAAAAAGTCGTCACCCTCTTCACCTTCGTCCACATGAACACCAATTGGCTATTAAACGTCACGACATTTCGTCACTCATTTCAATGAACGTGGATAACAACTATGGACATCAATTCAATCTTGACAATGTACAGAGGAGACGTCAAGAATAAGAGAATTCCTAGAAGCTTGCCATTCAGATCGGTCAGTCAGCAATCAATAGAAATATAGACATAGAACCGATCAATCAACCAATGAGGAAAATGATAAACGACAGAAAAGTGAGAGGTGAAGCAGAGGAACGATCAACAGGAGAATCTATGCACTCTGTCAATGACCCAATAACCAAAGGAAACAGCCAATCACAAACCACTTCGTCAGGACAAGCTACTAAATCACTCACGGAGAGATAATAACAGTTCACTTGATACTGAAGTTAGTGCTGATGATGTCGCTGTCTAGAAAGACGATGAAACTTCACGATTAAACAACCCAGTTAGAGAACACAATACAACCAAGACCGTTCACCTGAGCTACAAATATTCTCCACTATTTCAGAATACAAAAGTTCTGAATGTTTGTATAAAAAGAATGGTAAGTCTTATTTACTTATAATTTTTTTAATAATGACCGTGTTTGCACAGTACTTGATCTATTCTTCACAATGATGAAAAACTTTTGCCAACACCTACCTGCTATTTTTCATGTTGCTTCAAGTGTATAGATTTAGTAAGATGCTTTACCATATGTTTAATGTCTAGATAAACATTTAATTTATATTACGTAGTTACTATTCGTTGACAGCTTCCCAAGTATTGTAACAATAATAAGTTGGGAATATTTAAAGGGTGTCTACTCGATTTTATGAGCATATTCCGAGAAATCTGTGTCAGAATGGTAGCAATGTCTTTACCAGCACAACCACCAGGCACCTGATAGAAATAGGACATCAAATAGATGTTTCTCAATCCTTTAGGATAATCAATAAACAAAGAATGCTACGTTGATTATGGTTTGCGGAAGCTCTCGATATTAAATGTTTTCAACCTGACCTATGTACTCAGAAAGAGACTATTATTAACCCTGGTATGTATCTGTCTTCCCTTTTTTCTGATTGCATAGTCTCTTCAATTCTCCAGTTTTTTCATATAATTACGTAACCTACTGGCTCTTAAATAATCCCCACTTTTACACCGATTTTCGTCTGTTGTCCCTCCCCCCATTTTACAGCTCAAGAATTTTCTCTCATCACATATAAATAGCCGATGAAAGACAATGAAATAAAATGAGCTCATTTTATTCTGAAAATGTCTTTGTTCTCTCATTGTTAAAATTTAATGAGTTTATGGAATTCCAACACTGGTCAGCTGCTGAATGCCCTACGTAAATGATTTTTTTTTTAATGTAACCCGCTCAAGCTGGTCTATTGTTCAGCAAGGCAATGTGAACTCAACTATTTCTGCATTTTATAGTCTACTTAGTGGCTGCCACTGGAACCCAGGATACGTGTTTCGTCACATTTGCGACTCGTCAGCTGGATATACCTCCGTCGCGGAACCAGTATTCAGCACTTTAAATCCCAGTGTTATCCATTGGGCCACGAAAGCCACCACTTTTTGATGTAAAACAGTTGTTATTTATTGACACTGGCATTGTTCAACCCAGTATAGCAACGGTAAATTACAAGTATCAATAAACACTGAACAGTCCCTGCATTTTAAATGCAATCTTCAAATTCAGTATAGGCAAGGCCTAGTGTGAATATCATTGAATAAGATAAGGATGAATCTATTCTGAAAGTGTGATCATATAAGAACATAATTGGCCGAAAGACTTACTCAAAAAGAAGCAATCATCTTAGCTCTCAACAAGTATTTTTAAATTAAACCGCTATTCAGAACAGATAATATATACAAAGTGATTCAATATAACTTAGAAAAAGCTATGTAACTGACTATCTACGCAGTGGATTTGTTACGAAGACAATTAGAAGTTTAAGGCGAATAACAAGGGGAAACAAGGTAAAGATCGTCTCCACATTTGTCTGAGGAAGCAAATATATTTGATGTACTGAAAGAGATAGTGTGAGGAAGCAATGAAAGGTTGTGGGCATTGATGGAGGCATGTTGAAAAGACTGCAGAGAAGAGAGTGAAGTGGTGACGTGCTACTGAAGCCTTATGTTCCACTAGGAACCAAAAGGACAAATAATGATAATGATAATACTGAAAGGTCTTCTTCAACTCGTGTTGTGGAATAGCATCCTCAGTGTCTCCTAAAATCTAATAATGATAACCTGAAACGTTCGATCACATATCCCCTCTCAGATTGTGATAATCTATTAATGTCTGTAAAAGTTACAGGGTTATCAGTAAATAAACGAATAAAAGAATATGTAGGTTTCCAGAGACTCGTGTCATTCGACTGAATAAACCGGATCTTTGAGCATAGCAAGAAACGGTAATCAAATTTGTCTTTTCTTGGTAGTACATATTTTGTGGATTTGCTTTCGTGTACAACTGGAAGCGTACAGGTAGTTGACACTTCCCGGTTGCCCACAACAAGGAAGGTGATTTATTCTGAAGGTGCCTGAAAGAGAAAAAGATTGGTGACCACGGAGCCCATTAGATATCTCTGCTTGAGGCCTGATACACACAGTCTTTTGTAGGTTGCTGTTTTGAGGTTTGGTTATTTCAACGTGGGGCAAGGAGTTGTGCGTGTTGTTTTTATGGCCAACCTTTCTAACCCTCCCTCCCCATTAGGAAGACAGCATCCGAGTGGTACTACTGGTCATCTAAAAGAAACACCTTATTGCTATCACACTCCTCCAGACAGGATTACGACTTCGCCCTCAGACCTCATCATAGTGTAGTAATTTACACTACAACGGTAACTGCTTTTTCTTTGCCACTGTCTAACACACCTTTCTGGCATGGTAGGACCACAAGGTGATAAGCGTTCCAGCCAGCGTAGCCCCTTGGGTCATTGTGATACGCAAGCTAAACCAGCACATCAAGGTAGCAGTTAACGGCCAGTGAGTATTTTTCTACCTATACGTTTTGCGCTTTCTTTTTTGTTTATTCTTTTCCCGAAAATGTAATGGACTAATAATCTATGTTTGGCCTGTTTCGAATTATGTACAACCGGAGCTACGTCACACATAACCTTCATGTTCTGAGGCAAGCACGTTACCATTGAGTTACTGTGTCAAAATCAAATGGTTCACACCTTCCGACTTCTGTCAGTTCGCGATATAGCGCAACCTCCATCTAATGTCTCTGATGAGTATTCGCCCTAACGTTCGATTTGGTCTGCCACACTGATTACGACTTGTCATCAGAACTTCAGAAATCTCATCTCGAAGCAAGTCACCAATAAGCACTGAACTGGGGCAAACCAAGTCGAACGTAAGGACAAATACCCAATGACGGTATTGGACAGCGGTCGTGCTAGGTCACGAACTGATAGAAGTAAGAAAATGTGGGCCATTGGATCCCGAACTAGTGCCTCAACGATAACGTGCTTACCACAGTACCTGATGGTCCTGTATCTGATCTCTGACAGGGGGTTGTGGGTGGAAATTGTTGAGGAATCTAATGATAGGACAAAACAGCTGCTCAGTACTCTAAGGTATTTAATGATTCTCCAACTGATGTCAATCCGTAATGAATAACAGCTTCGAACGAATGATCATATGTTGTCCTCATGTTCAGATGTGCTTGTTAACTCCGAGGTTGTACATAAATTATTTTTTATTATTTGACTATCTGAGACAAACAGTTTGGCAGACTAGGATTTATACTAGGTGGTGATTGAAGGTGAGATGGGAATTTAAACCACGGCCGGATTTGAACCAGCGACCACCGGGGTTTCCGGCAGTTGGACCTCGTAGCTCAGTTGGTACAGCATCGGGCCGGAAACCCGGTAGTCGCTGGTTTGAATTCGGTTGCGGTTCAAATTTTCATCTTACATTCAATCATCACCCAGTATAAACATAAATTATTGTCTATTTAGAATACTCAGCTAATGACTTCTGTTGAAACTTGATGGGATTAAATAAATTCAGCTTTCTTTACATTTGCTGGTTATTTCCAACTTATTACCACTTTGTTCATACTATGGGAATTAAGAATTGAAGATTAAAAGAAAGACGGAGGAGTCAATCCCTCTTATTCTTAGTACATAAAGTATTCCTAGCCGTTTATTGACTAATGAGCAAACTTTTATGATATGTCTGCCAACGCCCTCCATTTTATTTACCTACCACTCTTCCTTATCAAATCCATATATTCTACTGCAAAACTTGTTCGTGTACACGAAGATTCATACATACCCAGTAGGACACGCGTATAAGTTCTAGAAATTATTATAATTTTATGTGATTTTATTTAGGTAAGGTAAGCATATGCCCAAAAACTAGTGGAAATTTTATATCCAGATAACGATACATAGTTACATTCTTAGAGGGATAAACTAGTCATGAAAAGTGATTTTTGATGTTATTATTCAGAGAAGCATTTTAGGAGAATACTTCATGTGGCAACGGAGCCACTACCCGACTTCCCAAACCTTGGCAATTAGACCGATGTTCCAACTTGTGACCAACTGGGTGCAAGTCGATTGCCTAGATCAATGCGACACAGCTCCACTTAAATGTAGAGTGATATCAGTGTTCACTGTTGCTTAATATCAGTAGCTGCTTTGGTCACTACTCTTTTTTTTATCATCCTTATTGTTTTTCCTCAAGCTGCGTCAACATCTCGTTGATAATAGAGAATGAAGTTGTTGAGATCATTGACCATTACTTACTTGAAAAGTTGGATAAATCCTGGTGGATTATTGGCTGATGAAATCTCGGCATAGGTACAAGAGGTTTGATTGCTTTATGTCAACCTACGCCACCATAGTGCATGTGAGAAATTCAACTGTCTGCTGAACATCAAACATACTTCGAAGCAATTTCATGTTTCAGGTGTTTGACCAGCATCGCGTTCATACAGTTAGCAGTGTTTCATAGAACCACCACGTTAGTAATGTAGACGTCAAGGTAGAGTCTAAGGAAAAGGAGCTAAGTCGGTTGGAAACGTAAACTCATGTGATTGGAACATAGCTATAAATGCTTAGTCATCATCCAACCCAATCCCCACCCAGAGTAGTCAGAAACGTAAACAGGTTAAAGGTGGCCTAATTAATTCCTGGTAACACTCTGTAAGGTTACTGACTCTTTATTTGAGTTGTGTAGATAAATGTAGACTCCAACGTGAGGCTCAGTACAACACCAAAATGAGTGATTAGAGACTTCAAATGATACTGTCCGAAGTCAACATCAATAATGCAGATATATCTATACATTGCTATGATTTTAATTCTCATATTTCATTTCGTTATACGTTTAGCCCCCCGTTTTTCTATCCACGTATGATTTTCTACGATACATTACTCTTCCTATTTCTGTATAAAAGAAAGTAGAAATGGAATTTTTACACAGTGTAATGCAAAGACGAAGATTATTTGAAACATGAGATGTATTAGCACTATACATTTCAAATGATCTGATCATATGTGAAAATATTTTGAACATAAAAAGATTGTCAAGTTAATTCTAGGCCCACATTTAATAATTATGCCAGATGTTGTTATGTAATGTAACTTTTTATCAACTATTTAGACATTGGACAAAGTGTAGAAATCCTAACTTCGAATATCATAAATCACTACATATTCATGCTTCTAAGATTTCGGGAGAACATAGATATATGCTTTTTATTGTAATCTGTGGTCTGCTGTGCATTATTACATTAAGTTTCATGACCTCTAAGCTTTGTTTTATTTCAGCCTGTATGAACTAAAACAAAACAACACCACTCATTCATGACATAGCTTATTCAGTATTTGTTGAAATTTATAATTTCCAACTAAATAGACTTGATCGACCTCTCTATGAACATGAGCTGTGGTTCAGTGGTTCAGGGAGATAACTTTCAACTATTGAGTTACGAGTTTAAATCCTGGCTCCACCTACTGAGGTTTAAGGAGTCAGGTAGTATCACTAGCCCTCACACAATAGGTGTGGCTTATTACCTGCTCCATGGATGTGCACAAGGTAGCTGAGTGAGTTTTGTTTCTTCGTACATGGATGCTTATCCGAATGCCTCGATATTACCTGATTATTCATTGTTATGATTTACTACTGATAGCTACTGTTAAGTGAAATAACTTATTAACCTCAGTAAAAGCATTTTTAATATACTGTTAAGCAAATAGAATTCTACACTTCTCTTTAAATTACATAACCAGTAGAATATTTGATGTTCACACTTCTGTAATAAAACAGAAAATTCTTTGCACTGAAACCTTTCATTTTATTGCATGAGAAACAGGTGCTCTCTATTTAATGAATAATGAGTCTGTAAGATAAAAATGATATATTCCAAAATAAAGTGATATGAGAAGTACCAATACTACTTATAAATTATGAAGACATACCCAAGGATTCGTTGAAGGTCCTTCAGCATATCCTTGTTGTTTTCCTACAGAATCCAGTAAGACCATTCGAGAACCCGTAGATCCACTGTAAACAGTAAAGAATAATGAATCAATATATGGTTATGCATATATTTTAGATCACAAATGAGACAGATCATATGTTACCTGATTTAACAAAGTAGAAAAAAGATTCTTGCGAAATTTTGTACCTACTGCCAAAACACTTATCATACTATGCAACAAAATTAATGAAATGACATGGCATGGCATCGCACTTACTCAGTTACCTTCTACAAACTCGTGCGGTAGGCAATCAGCTACACCTAATGTAAGAGGGCTAACGAAACTGCCTGGCTTTCTGAACGTTGGTAGATGAAGTGCTGCTCGAACCTATGACCCACTGAACGAAAGTCAACTCCATAAATCAATGAGCTATGCTTACTTTTCAAATCGTTTCCAAGTGTACAATACTAGAAAAAGACCCGAAAATTTGACAGCTAAAACTTAAGCATAAAATACTATAACAACATGAAATGATAGCTTAATTCATTAGATGAATTCTCTATAACCTACTGACACCGGGGCCTGGAATCTCTGAGGTTTCATCTGACGTGTTTAATGTTGTCAAGCTTAAAAACGACATTTAAATCTTATGGTGCTATCCAAACTCAGCAAAACTGAAGCCTAACAATAGACTACAGCGATTCTTTGAGATAATATTAAGTCGGCTATTTTTGTGAGACTAGAGTAGATGTGCATGCGTAAAATTATATGACTTATCTGCAGTACACTTCCTAAAGCCCATGTTAAATCAAGATATTAGACAAATAGACACAATACTACCTTCTAAAATGCTACACATTATTTGGGGACTTATTGTGAAATACTTTCATGTCAAAGCTCATGTCGCGTAACAATTGAATTCATAGTCTAAAGTAAAAGAGAAGAAAATGTTTATCATCGCAAACGGTTACTGAGAATTGCGTACATGGCACTGTTGACCTCCTGTAGTCCGTTAACAAGAAGTTGTGACCTAAGCTTTCTAGTTATTAGCCCTGAGTTAGCAGTTTCATCTTCAACGTCTGCATCTTTCAGAGTAATTGATGATGAAACGTGTGGCTGAGGGGCAGAATGGTGTTTTAGCGTGATAAAACACCAAGTTTCTAAAACGTACACATACATGTTAGTGGCTTTCAGTACATATGAAGCTCAGTTAAAAACTTTCCCTTTACTTATCTTAACAATCTAACACTAGACACTAGGCATTAGCGTTGTATCACAGATTAATTGAAATAACAAACTAATTGACCGATAGGTTTCAACTAATACTTACTAGCAGTACAGAATTATCTGATACTTGTTGACGTATTTGTAACATTTTACCCCTAAGAACGTAAACACTTCATATGTTCCATTTAACTGCAGCCCTTTACAAGATAGATGACACAACGATACACATTAAATATTCCACGTTAAACTTTACAGTTTGTACATCACTAGATTGTTCATCCAACAAACTAAGAATTCAATGTGCATACTGTGAATTCAGTCAAACCTCCGAAGCTAAATATTTGTTCACTACCACCTATATTCACTAAAAAAACTACTCAACATCTGTAGACTTTATAAAATAAGTTTATAAAAAGACAAAGAACTATTCAGTGAAATAGTCAAATAGTTGCGTGTCCAAAGAACAAGAGTCTGATTTTGCTCTGATATCAGTCAATACTAACCGGGATAAGTAGTACTTCACACTGTTAGATAAGCATGTTTGCATATCACATCGTTTATTTGATATGGCACATAGTGTACAGTATATATTTACTGGATGACGTTTCCGAGGGGAATGTATGACTCACAATCCTATCAACGAAATCACACAGCTCTCAAACATCTCTTTTATAGTTCAACAGTTCTTCATTCTTTTATTCTAATGGTAGTAAACTTTTCTAAATATCTGCAATATGTGATGAACCATTCCTACTACACATTTTTTAGGTGTTTATTCAAAGAACAAACATTACGTAACAAATCCTTACCTCCACCTACATATATTACATTTCAGGATTATTAATTATGAGTGAGTGCAAGTAGAGCGATAGCCAAGTTTCTCTCCAAATTAATTAACTTGGTACGATCTATCACTGCAAAATTAGCTAATTTTTGTGCTTTGTTATCCTGATGGACCGTGATCGACTATTTTTGTTTACTAGGCTTTTCCCAGTTTCCCAGGTCGATCAAGTATCACTGATAATGAGGATGGCTTCTAACTGAACTCATATGCATGAAAATGCCGTATACAACGGGTCATGCACCCTTATTAGCGGAGAAGCCCCAAATTTCCCGGGTATCTACCCTTACCTCCATAAAAAGGACAGTAGGGTGCCAGGCTTGAGTTGATTTGTTAAAGCAGGCAGTATCTCGCACTCATTATTACAAATATCATGTCTCCTCCCACTGCGATTAAACAGCTTCATTGCTTTCAGTGTCCGATAGCGGCAGCTGGTGTAGTCACAAGTCACCACGATCGATCAGCTTCTTAAACCTATATAATCGACTTTACAAAAATTACATGGCATTTGATGGGCAAGGTTATTTTGCATATTCGGATTTACTGGATCTTTTAATCATCGACATCAACATAAAACCAGTTATTACTGCATAATGGTCGAGGTTGCCACACCTTGTGTCACCATATGAAACGAATAAGAACTAAGATGAAAGATAAAGAAATAGGGGAAGAAAGCTGTGAGAAGGAAACAAGAAGGTATAGGAAAATTTTAAATTTAGCATGAGGATTAAGATAAAGATAATGTGTAGACACATCTATTCCACTGAGATCAATTCTGATCCATATCACCTAGAGTCCTCAACTACTAGTTCCTGCTGTCGCGCGGGCCCCAACCAGGAAGTCTACATGTCCCTACGCATCTTGAGCCAACAGTCGAAGACTTCATGCAGTGATGCCGTGTTTTAGTCTGGTCGCTCCTCACCTTTCTCAAACCTAAGCCTACTTCAGCTGACATTTTCCTATAATGAAGACGGTGATTGGACATGTGTAACACATGTGCCGACCACGTTAGTTAATTAAGGTTTACAATCTCATTAACTGACTTTCCTCTTTTCTCTAAAACTCTACACCTACCTTGGGCATTACTGACGTAATGCGGCCATGACGAGTGGCCTATGCTACGGAGACAGCGGTGTTCGAACGTCAAAAGCCTCCTCATGCCCGCCTACCTTTAATGGTTACAAAGTAGATCTTTTAAGGTGCAACGTTTCTCTTTGAGTGACTTTGTGAATCTGACAGTCATCCTAATTCCAGCATTTATGAATAGTTTAAGAAATTCTCACACCCAAAAAGTATAGTGGCGATATGTAGATGATATATTTGTCGATGTTTACAGGCAATCATTACACTCGAATAGATACTTGGATTTCATATCACCGTCAAGGTAGGCTTGGTAAAATATTTAAGTGATGGAGCCAAAAGTTTGACTAGTAAGTTAGAAGATTTAAATAAGGAACTCAAAAACAATGAAGAGACATCAATACTTAATAACTACCCTCAGAAGTTAATAATCTTTATAAGGACTTATAAGAACAGAGTAATAATATATTACAACATGGCTAAGAGGAAATTTAAAGCCTCAGTAGTGTTGCGATATAAAGAAGGGAGATTGGAAAGTGTAAGAGGAATTTTTAACAATGCTTAGGTCAGGGAGACATTTAAACCCACAAACTGACTAAGAGAGAAAATTGGTAGCTCACAAAATACAGTAGATTTAATTAGACGAAATAAAATGTCTGTCAAATACCGTGAAACGATTGTGAGGTCGAGTAAACAGGTCAAGGTAGCCGACCACGATCCCAGTGTCAACGTGTGCTGGATCAAACAGACAATTCCATATGAGCTTACAGTGCTAAAGTCTTACTTTTGTGTTAACTCAGAAACATAGTTTCACAAATTTATCAGGTAAGATGTGAAAAACTTACTTTTAGCATGACAACAACGTTTACGCAGAATACCGTATGAGATGTGGAACACTAACTGACAGTCAACCACCTAGATTCGCGATAAAAGGATTCACTTTCTCCACAAATACAAAGTACACTTCCAGCAGTTTTATCGTTTGCAGTTAATAATATTTACTGGAATAGGTGAATAAAGTGGATAACGAAGTACCACACCTGTAGCCAGTTTTGATTTGCGATCCTTTTATACATCTCTATGTTAGTCAGTAAGTAGCTTGTTCTACCAAGTTACCTGACATGGGTGACGACTACGTATGCCCAAAATCTTTAGGGTTAATCAACCAACTCTATATGACTGTGAAGGATATTTCTCAACAAAAAAAAATCAAAAAGCTCAAAAACGAGCATATACTTACCCTTCTATGCCCCCAATTAGAAAAGTCATAGCAAAATTGATTACAGCAGACAATAAGGTGAAAAATGTGGGTTTCCAGAAATCTTTTTCTATCTTTGCAGAATGACTACCTGTCAAGAAAAAAGATCATTCCCAAAGAGTTGTGAAATGACTAAAAGTGACAAGTTTTACGAAATCCCACCAGAAATACAGATGCGAGAATGAAGCTTCTATTTAGATATAAAGACAGACTACTTTATATGGACAAAATTCAGGAAAGATATGCTTACATGTACGTGTAATCATAGACAGCCTGAATGATCATTCTTCATTATTAAGCGGTAACTTCACTATCACTAATTACACATTCTCCTTCATTATGAACGTTATGAAAACAAACTTATGGGTTTACTAGCTTAACTGGCTCTTCAAATAATTTTACTTTATTCTAGCTGCCTGAAAGGCATAATCACGAGAAAGATGCGACGACTGACCTATGAAGTGTGTCTTTATAAATGCAACCTCATTACCGCAAATTACAGGGAGAGAAGACATGTATACCACTATCGCTGCTATAAGACGCTCGGAGTTTAAACGATACAACTGTATCTTACAGCTGAAAATTAAATAATATAGTGACCACCCATCTCATAATTTCATCGACTTAAGTAAATGTTATGAAATTAAAGCCAAATACTTACACGTACTAAGAAAAATATGAAAATAAGTGGGAAAATACAAAAAATAACAGAAAAAAAGAAAACTTGTAAAATGTTTGCAATTTCCGAAGTGATAAAATAAATGTCTATGCAACTAATAAGCTATACTTTCTTTATCTTCAAACTATGCTTAAAGACTTCTATAGATAGCACAATTCCTTCACTTTTGTTCAACCTCAGGTTATACCTAGGTATAAGAAAGTACATGAAACTAAAAAATAAATGGCGAGTATTCACTGTGCATACTGACAATAACTATGTCCCAAGCGCGAAATGGCAGGAAAATCAGTGGTTTTTGTAGCCAAACATATATAATTCAAGATTTACAAAACGAGTAAAATCACTTTAGTTTGTGTAGGAAAAAACTGGCATAAGTTATTGTATAAAGACGGATTTAGGAGAATAAAGTAATTTTTGCAATGTTAACTGATAGTTCATTGTTACTTTTAGAGCAACCGGTACTAGATAAGCTACCAGACCGAAATAATTAGCAGCTTTTGAGCAGAACAACGGTTTAATGCACACTTGAAGAAATATCAGCCATCACATAGTACTTGTGTAGAGTTAGTAGCTTCCATATAGAATACACTTATACATATCGTGGCTTCTGACCACTTGTCAACTTGATGCGATAATACTACATACTTGCAACCTAAATCAAGTACATGCTGAAGGCGTATATGAATACACAGTTCTAGAGGTTAGTAACAGCTTTCGAAGATGGTTTCAATCAAGTAGCGTATGTTTCCTGAATTGTTAAAATTTTCGGAGTGCAGAGGTATGATTTAGATCTGACACTAGATTGACACTGGAGATACAACAAACTAACATTCGCTTATCATCAAAACCAGCATTGTGATGGTCAACTGTAAAAACTAGGTCTGAAAATGTCTAAACGGCATTAGCTGTTTAGGAAAATCATACTCATTGAGAATGAGGCATCTACGAAGGTCAAACAGTAGTGCGAAATTGGAACTCCATCACTTCGGTAACTACGATCTACATCATAGTGCGAAAATCCATTTCTATAACTATGTTGAAACAATATCAAGTTATCAACGAATTCCTAAGACTGTACGGCCTTCTAATGTTAAAAGAAAGGCCCACAAACTAACTGGAACTATTCAGGTGAATGAATGACATTAGTAGTTTTGTTTAAAATCTAGAATAACAAAACACAGTTGGAAAATTCTCAATACTACACAGAGTATTCATAAATACATAATTTCACGTGTACCAAGGTTTCCAAACTAATAATTATTATTATTATCTTGTTAACAAGATAAAACGTACGTCTCAGTGACGTATTAGAAAGTTTTGATACGTTCCTATCTAACTAATCAGTTCAGTATACACAAAATGTGGACGTGATGAGGGGACACTATGATTTTGATGTACCAGTGAAGAAAGAACGCTGCATGTTGCTTACATACGTAACACTGTTTACACGAGTTAGCAAAAAGTTCTGATCTAAATTATTTAAACGTTACGGAATTAAAACTCAATTAATCAGCATCAATGCAGTACATACCATCAGGTTCTATGAGTGTTGTGCAAACAAAAACAGACAACCCAACAGCTGTTATTGCTGCTCAAGCTAAACACTTTTGAAAGCCCGCTTTTTCATTCCTCGTGGCTACACATACTACAGTTATTCTCGAGGTCATGGGAACTGCTGTTTTTGAGCTGGCTGCAAAGCATTTAGCAGCTGATTCCTTGTAGTCTTTCAGGAAAAAAGCTACACATATTCTCGAGCTAGCGTAACCCAGTCCATTCCTCATATCTGCTTCAAATTCTTACTGAACTGTGCAAAGTCCTTTTTGAATTCCAACAAGGTATACTTCACTACTCGCCTGCTGTAGCTCTTTTGAAGGTGGTGGGTGACTGGCTTCTAACTTAATCCGGTAGGTGATGTATAACCTATCCTGGAACAAAAAGGCTGGTTCAGCATCCATAGTATGAGTATATCAAACTCATATTATTTGAGCCTTACATACAGCTCTTTGATCTTAGCCATTGTTCAGAAGTCTTCTGTCTTCACTTAGCAGAGAAGCACCATTTGTCTTCCTTCTCTTAGTCCTGGTGAGCTGAGTGTTTCCCACGGGCTTGTAATAGCGACTAGTAGGTTGAGTTGGTAAGCTGCCTGGTAGTTTGTGAGTCTTCTTGCGACAAGTCTTCTCAATTACCTGGTGAAACTAAGTGGAGTAGAAGTGAAAATTTAAAATATCATGCCCCGGAAGAAACACAGAGGTAGGTGTAGTAAGTACATGTAGAAAAGCTGAGCTGGATGACAAAGCGGGTAGAGCAAAATAGGCGGAGGATGAGTAATAAATAAAAAGACAATAATGAAGAGCTAAATATGCCTAGTTGTTGAAGAGGCGAGTGGTTATTGAGGTCGCTTTTTCACACATACACCGCTGGTTAGCTATGTGAGTTGGAATTATCATTCAGACTTATCTTTCAGTAGTGGAGGAGTGGACCGAAGTTTTAAATTATACTCCTAAATCAATGGCCAAACACTCGACGGGATTCAGTGTTGACGCGAACCCTCATTGTTCTAACTTACTAGTCAAGCCGGAGTTGCATAGTTTGGTACTCACGTAACTTGGCACATCATTGCTTTACGCTGAGTTGCTTCGTCCGTCTTCCAACAGACATATAGTCAAAAGGAATCGATATCCTTGAAAAATTCGTCAAATATCCTATATCTACGTCTCTATGTGCCTGTGTTCCCTCTTGAACCTGCACTTATGGGTAGTCTAACAGTGCGAAAGGTTAGTGACTGGCCTCCGTACCAGCCACGTTCTTAAAGATCACTTCCGAAACTGATGCACTTGTTCTTTTCGCTCCGGTCAATTTTGTCTTTTTATGACTCATATGTTTGTCTTAAATTAAACTACTCCATGCGTGTGCAGTCAAATATCCAAACTGATACGCATCAAGTTGACAGTGCACTCAATGTAGGTCGGACCATTTTTCCCGCGCGGCGCAGGAACGAGGTTTCTGTACGCCAAAGCTGATTACCGAGAATGAGCCATCACAGATCACGGTCCTTAACTTCTTGTTGTCATACTATCATTACCGAAGGAATTAAATCGGTATGTTACAGCACATATGATTAGCTCCGAAGTAAGTGATCCCTATGCACAGCTCAAAGTAGCATTTCTGAGGCCGGTTCATCTCACAACTCGTCAACAGTTAGATGATTCTCTCCGAACATTGCCGCTACTCACATCCTGAAGCGGATGCGAGAGGTACCTTGTCCTTCAACACTATCATAGCTGATACAAGCTGTTCTGGTCACATAGTAGTCGGGTGCAGTTGATTACCTGGCCGGTAAAATGTTAGAGGTCCCTAGTCAACTCCCTTCTAAAGTGTATTTCATTATTGACAAATCCGTGTGTTTGGGCTCCAAAATGACAGAACCATGCGACTCTGTGAAACAGCTCTTGAAAAGCGGAAGTCGTTGGTAGTAACAGGGAGCATAGCAACGCTCTCATTACACCTCAGCAGTTCATGTTGCCCGGCAACAGCTAAACTGCCCGAAGTTGAAAATTCTGAATAGTGTTGATTCCACAACGTTTATGGAGGAGAACCTAGAAGCTGTTGAAAGCCATGCGCAATCGTCAAACGTCTGTACTCTGATACACGTTAACGATACCCGTAATTGCCGAGAACGGCCATTCGTTATGCCTCATGGACTTGAAAATTAACTTTCGTTACCTCGCTGACGCTGGCGCGGAAGCTGAACTTCTTTACAAAATCGCGAACAAGAGTTCACATGACCCATTCTTCAATCTGAAAGTGGTTAACGAACAACTGACTGTGACTGCGAAAAATTCCAATTCGGGCTCAAGCGGCCCAATGCACAGGGCTCTCCTTCTAGCTGGCATCCCCATACATATCACTGGTATAGATTTTCCGAACCGCTGCGATCTAGTCAAGGAAAACTAGCTGATAACAACCAGCAGACGGAACCAGCGACAGCTGAGCCACGGTTGGGGGAAAGCACTATGTTGACCTCCTCTATCAAGATGAAATGATGACTCAAAGTTGAGGCGACTGACACACCCTTACATGCATGACCATCAATGTTACACCTCAGTTCACAACTACAGGATCGGCTGCAACAGTCAAGGCATGTGCTTAGACCTCGGATCATTCAGCTATCAAATAGCCCACTGGGCATCTCTCTTGTATGTGATGCCGTGAAAAGATAACAACAGTTTGATGTCCGACTAGCTGTTGCAGTAAACCTAACACATATACTACGCTTCACTGCTAAGTGATATCTTACATCTGTCAATTAACTGCCACTTTAGGCATTTTTTAAATACCATCCAAGGCACTAATAATATTAACTGTCATGTTTTTTTGAACAAATAATTCAATTTAGAATGACGATGATAATTATTTCTTACACAATATAAGTTAAATGACAATACTCCAACTTACGGTTCGGTAGTATGAATTCACTGTTGGGATCAGTAGCACCCAACACACTGGGAGCCTTTATTTAAGGCATACAAGAGGTAAGTTCAGAGACAGAAAGTTACTACTTCTCAGGCGACAAAGAACGAAATAGTAACCATCGGCATAATTGTTCGGCAGATTAAGGCACATTCAGCCGGAAATGATGTAACATTAAGCCACTATGAACCATCAGATAGAGTGCGTAGTATAGCCGTGATGTTTATCCCATGCGTCCTTCATGAAGTTCCGATGGCATGATATGTTCCTACAATTACAACAACTGGGATCCAATGCAAACAGCTGATCAGTCAGATCTGAAAAATAAATCACAAAAGCGAGCGAAAGCCAAACTTAAAACTTAATACTGAGGCAAAAAATGCACTCCTCTACAACATTTTTAATCGTGTTTGCCGTAACGCCTTAGATTATGCAAATAATATTATTAACGAAAACGGTTGTGCAATGGTTATTTGTTGTCACTACCCTAACGGGCGAGCTCCGCCTTACAAACTTTTTCCCCATAGATGTATGCTAGACAATGCTCAACAGAATTCTTACACCCATTCGCACGAGCGTGCAGTCCGATATAAGTCACTCTTATCCGTCTTGAGCAAACCAAGGACAGAACTGTGAATAAAGCGGGTGCTCAGCATAACAGAAAAAGTGATCTGAAAATTCCTCTCGATCCCCCCATTTGACAGCACTGACATTTATTTGAATATTTTTACACTCGTTATGGATATTGTGCCTTCCGCCTGACTAATGTAGTGTTATTTTGTCATTTGACTGTCTTCTTTGACCCTGCAATCATCATTTGTCTTTTTAGATTGAGGCTTATCATGAATGCTCCACTTTCATATCGCTCGATGCTGGACTGCTGGCAACGTGATGTTTATTTACTGCGCCCGACATTTTTTATTCAACTTACGGTTGTGCTGTGATTTGACTGCTTATCTTTTGACTGGCTACTGGAAACGTTTATTAGTTGGTTTGATTCCTGTAGACGGTTTTTGATCCCCTTTATTATTATATTATTAGTCCCTTGGGTTCCTAGTGGAACATAGGGCTTCAGTAGCACGCCTCCAGTGACCTCTGTTCTCTGAGATCTTTTGAACCTGGTTCCACGACAGCCCAGAAGCTCTCATTTCCTCCTCGCACGACCTCCTCCATGTCACCCTCGGACGTCCAACTCGTCGCTTCCCATGGGGATTCCACTCGAGGGCCTGACGCGTGATGTCCTCAGTCGGCCTTCTCAGTGTATGCCCAATCCATCTCCACTTCTTCCTGCATATTTGTTGCGTGATAGGTTCTTGGTTGGTTCGTTCCCAGAGTTCCTTGTTGCTTATTTTTTCTGGCCATCTGATCTTCAGCAGCGAGCGTAAGCAGTTGTTGATGAATGTCTGTAGTTTATTGGAAATGCCTTTCGTGACGCGCCAAGTCTCTGAGCCATACAAGAGCACTGACTTGACGTTGGTGTTGAAAATCCGTATCTTGTTCCGCATGCTGAGTGCAGAAGATCTCCACACTGGTTTCAGGCTAATGAATGCCTGTCTTGCTTTTCCGATTCTGACTTTGACGTCCTCGTCCGTCCCGCCTGTAGTTGAAACAGTGCTTCCTAGATAAGTGAAGGAGGTTACTTCCTTCAAGTTTCTCCGTTGACGGTGATTGGAGTTTGTTGTTGTTGTTGATGGTGGTGGTGCGGTATCTTCATCACTTCTGTCTTCTCTATATTCACCTGAAGTCCCGTCTTAGCTGCCTCCTCTGTCAACTTGTTAGTTTTTGCCTGCAGATCTTCAAGTTTATGTGACATTAGGCATAAGTCATCGGCGAAATCCAAGTCTTCTAGGTTCTTTTCCGTCGTCCAGTGTATCCCCCTCTTCTCGCTGCCTACTGTTTGCTGCATGATCCAGTCCACCACAATAGGAATATCATGGGGGATAGTAGGCAACCTTGTTTCACTCCTGTCTTCACTTCAAAGGCATCACTGAGCTTCCCATTGTGGATTACTTGGCATGTGGCATCTTCATATAGTTGTTGAATGAGGCGGATAAAGGTTTGCGGTACTCCGTAGTATTGAAGCAGTTTCCAAATTACTTCTCGGTCGACGCTGTCAAAGGCCTTCTCAAAGTCGATGAAGTTGAGGTATAGAGCTGATTGCCATTCTACGCTCTGTTCTATGATGATACGAAGCGTTGCAATTTGGTCAGCACATGATTTGTACTTCCTGAAGCCTGCCTGTTCCGGTCGCAGTTTTGAATCCAGTGCGTCTTTAAGCCTCTCCAGGATGATGCGGCTTAATATTTTACTTGGGGTGGATAGGAGAGTGATTCCTCGCCAGTTCTTGCAAGCACTGAGGTCTCCCTTCTTCGGCAGTTTGACAAGGTAACCCTTCTTCCAATCGTCAGGTACCTTCTCTTCCCTCCACACCTTCTGCAATAGTGGTGTGAGCATGTCCGCTGTTGTCTCTGCATCTGTTCTCAGTGCTTCTGGCGGTATTCCATCTGGTCCTGCTGCTTTCCCGCATTTCAGTAGCTTTATGGCGTTCAGGACTTCCATTTTCGTTGGGGGATTTATGTTCACTTGTAATTCAGCGGCTGCAGGTGGTATTTCTGGACGAAGTGCAGGTGGTGGTCGATTCAAGAGCTTCTTGAAGTGGTCGGCCCATCGTTTCCTCTGTTTCTCTTCTTTTGTAATTAAATTTCCTTCTTCATCTTTTATTGGTTTCATCTGTGTTGGTCTCTTCCCTGATAGCAACCTGGTTATTTGATACAATGTCGTCAGGTCTCTCTTACCTGCAGCCTGTTCTGCTTCACTTGCCAGTGTGTCGTAGAAGTGTCGTTTGTCTTTGCGTGCACTCTTCTTCACTTCTTTATCCAGTGTTTTATACATTGTGCTCAGTTCCTCTTGTCGTTGAGCATCCTTGCACTGGTTTATCTTCTGCTTCACCATCCTCCTCTCCTCTATCAGCTTCCAGGTATCCGTCGAGATCCATTCCTTGTCTTCTTTCTTCTTCCTTCCTAATACTGTTGTGCAGGTTTCTTTCCACATAGCTTTCAAAGACTTCCAGTGTTCTTCCACACAGGTTTCTTCAGGGATGTCCCTCGACGTCTCCCATTTTGTCTTGATGGCTGCTTTGAAGATCTCCTTTGTAGTTTCATCCTTCAGTTTCCGAGTGTTGTACTTGAATTGAGGTCTATCACCAGCTTCCTTGAAGGCTTTTAACTTGATTTGGAAGGTTCCTTGCACTAGATAGTGGTCTGAACCTACATCTGCTCCTCTTCTTGACCTTGTGTTAAGTAGACTGCGTCTCCATTTTCTTGAGATTGAGATAAAGTCGATTTGGTTTTTAGTGTGTCCATCTGGTGAAATCCATGTCGCTTTGTGGATATCCTTGTGCCTGAACACACTGCCTCCAATCACCAAATCGTTGAATGCACAGAATTCTGCAAACAATTCTCCATTCTCATTCATTTCACCTAGCGCCTCTCGACCCATGGTTAGTTCTCTTCCCGTGTTGTCCCCTCCCAGTTTGGCATTCATGTCGCCCATTAGAATTTTGATATCGCCAACTGACGTCTTGTCCAGTGTTGACTGAAGTTGTCTGTAGAATTCCTCCTTTTTCTCTTGCTCTGCATTATTTGTAGGTGCATAACATTGTATGATTGTGACCTTTCTTCCTTTTGAGTTGAATCTTGCTGACATGATCCTGGAGGAGATTGGTTCCCACTGCATGAGAGCCTTCGATGCTCTTGAGGACATCATGATAGCCACTCCCTCAGTGTGCTCGTGGTTGGCGTCTGGGTGACCGGAGTAGATTATTGATTCTCCCGTTGACAGTTTGGAGAGTCCACTCCCATTCCATCTGCTTTCGCAAATCCCAAGCACTTCGATGTTATACCTTCTCATCTCCTTTGCAATCTGGGCTGCCTTACTGGGTTCAAACATCGTGCGGACATTCCATGTCCCCACGTTTACTTTCGCTTTCATCGAGAGAAGACACATCGGCCAATTGGCTTCCCGAAGGCTTTCACCAACTGGCGTCATTTCGCCTCTCCGATTCCAGCGGGGAATAAGTTTGTTTTCATTTTTTATATTTTGTTTGTGCTTTGAAGTTTCTTTAGCGGTTAGATTTGTTTTACGGGGTAGGGTTGCTAGCCCTATGCCCAACCTTCCCTCTTTACCCGGGCTTAGGACCGGCTAGTAACTAGTAAACTAGTTAACCAGGCGAGGTTTTGATCCCCTTTGGTAGGGCATATTCTTATTGATTCTAGGGTACTTAACAATCGTTCTCGATCAACCAATTTTTACTGTATAGTATGTATTTGTGCCTGAGAACGTTTGGTCTGTATGGTCACCTAAAGGCACTGTTGAGGTATTTTTGTAATTTTGATGTAACTCACTGCTGCTTTAGTAGTACCACTGGTTTTGTCACGAATCTACCACTGATTTACCTCAAGACGTGTTTTTGATGCTGTTGATCCAAACTTTGACTGTGCGTCACTCGTGGAAGTTCGGGAGCTATACGGTAGAACGCAGGGCCTTGTCAGGTCCGCTTTAGTTTGGCACCATCTCGTTGGTCCCAGCATTCATGCCCAAGTAATTGGATTTTGATTGTTACATTCAGTACCAGATGAAATGGCTCTAGCCAGGTGCTTGCTTGAGTTTAAATGTCTGTAAACTGCAGTGCTAGCCAGCTAAGCTGGGGACGAATCGTTGGCCCTCTGTCGGTTTAAAGCCCCCGCACGTTGTCAAATATTCTCTTTTTTCAGAAGATGAAAAATTGGTGGGTAACAATAAAGAAGTATGGTTAAAATATATGGGTGAATAAGCTGTGAGAGTAGGGTTGGGTTATTCTCGAGTTTCAGTATTCGTATGCATTTCATTAAAAGAAAGAT